TAACACAAGGAAATGCTGTTCTGAATAGCTCTGCAACCAGCTTTGATATGGAAGAACTCTTTTTGTACCTAAGAGATCCAGGTTCATGACATCACAAGGAAAAAGTCTACAAACTAGTTTGGTAGTGTGAAATCTACATACAATGTACCTACCACTAAGGTGCCTAACTATCTGATTGTGAAGGATTATGAAGAGAGGGGCTATGGCTCAGTGGTAGAGTCCAAATTTTGCACACAAAGGGGTCCCAGCTTCAATCCTTGGCATGTCCAGGTGTTGCCTGAAATAATCTTCCTGTCACTCTAGACAGTCACTACAAGTCAGTCTTGACAGTACTGGTCCAGGTAGATGAACAGTCTACCTTATAGCAGTATACGGTAGCCTCCTGTGCTTCCATGCTCTTTTCGTTCCAGTCCTCCTTACCAGACTTCTGTGCACATTTATATGAAGCCCGCAGAACTAATGCACAACGAGGCAAGAGTGTCACACCTCCAGTCTTTTTACATTGGACAAAATGTGAGATGCATGCTCAGACTCGCACGTGTCTGACAGAAATGCACAGTATTTACCACCTGAAAGACAAGGACTACACATACTTGAGGTAATTTGTGCTGGACTTAGCAATATAAAGTGTTGATAGATGACATGTTCAGTGCAGAGTTAAGAAAGGCCCAGAGGCAGAATAGACACACATTATCCTTATAGCATATAGGTTTTCTGTACGTTCCCCAAAGCCCTAGAGTTGACTGCTTAGCTATATTTACAAGCACTGTATCTCACTTTGCTTTCACACATATGTTAAATAAAATACATATAATGTAGGCACAAGCTAATTTGTCTTATGAAAATATTTATTTTATTTTTAAAGCTTTTTTATACTGTTCTTTCAGCAAAAAAGCTTTCAGAATGCTGTACAGTGGATAAAAACCAAATAAAAGCATGAGGTAAATAACATTGTCAATGGGACATCAGCAACAACCATCAAAATTCAACATCATAAGTAACAGTTACCTGATAAAAATAATAATGATACATAGCACCATTATAACAACTGATCCACTGTATACCAATGACAATATTAATAAAAACCAGTATAAAATTGAGTCATCATAGTTAACAATTAAATTCCTAGGAAAATAAAAAGGTTTTGACCTGGCATGAACTAACATTGCAAACTGCTGTTATATATGTTAGTACAGGACCTGGCTTAACAGGTATGTGCAAGAATCTGGCAAAGGTGTTCTTTTCTGTTTTGTATTTTATGGAGCTTGTGGACTTGGGGAAGTTATGTCACAGACTTCCAGGGAGGCCTGCTTTAATCCTGGGAGCCCAATTCAAAATGTTGATTGAATTATTCACCACACTATTTCAGAGGAGAGCCAGTGTGGCGTAGTGGTTAAGAGCATGGGATGGGGACTCAGGCGATCCGGGTTCGAGTCCCCGCTCGGCCGTGGAGCCAACTGGGTGACTTTGGGCCAGACACAGACTCTCAGCCCAACCTACCTCACAGGGTTGTTGTTGTGGAGATAAGATGGGGGAGGAGAATGATGTAAGCTGCCTTGAGCCCTTTGTAGGAAAAAGGCAGGATATAAATCAGGAAAAAATATCTTAGGAAATAATGTATTTGTTTAATGTATATCCTGCCCTTTTTCTTCAAAAATATGGTGTTCAAGGGGATAAACAATAATAAAATGCAAATTAAAAACTAAATCCAAATCCAAAATATAACATTAACATGGACAACAATCCAAGTAGGCTACCCATTCATCCAAACCCAGAGGATTATGAGAATCCTGTGGAGGGTGAAAGGATGAAAGATGGTGAGAGACACAGAGGTAAAGATCAGTTCTATGATCATCCCACCCTTCAAAAGACTTAAGCAGCTAATTTTGACTCTGTAAGTTTTTTGCCTTCATGTACAAGGAGGAAAGGATGAGGAGCTGCCTGGATAAAATGTGGGAGAACCTCACTCCCTACTTTCTTGCCCCTCCAGAAACATGTCTGACTGCAGGGGAGAAGGAAGGATATTCTAAGGTTGCAGGTGGAAGTGGATTTCTCCCATGGGCAGCTAGATTCTTTCAAGTGGTTGAAGAATTGTGCTCTTAAACACAAATAAAATACAACAATAAAAATGGACAGAAAGATTATAAAAGTTGCTTGATCTATACCAACTGGTGGACAGTATTGGTAGTAAGTTTGTTGGCTGTCACTGTTTGCCTGTTTCTGATAGTTTTGGTGTACCTACAGTTGTTCATTAGAATATACAGAATATTTTTAAATATATATACACATGGTAAATATTGCAGACATCTTTTTCTCTGTTTGACATGTAATAAAGTATCACTTTAAGGGTTTTATTTCATTAGAAGGTGAGGGGGAAATCCTTCTGTTGTTAATTTGTTTTCTTTGATGAATATTTTTGTCATTGCATTCCTTCTTTTTGGATTGTTGTCAAGTTCTTCAGCTAATCCCTTCATATTAGCCAGCTGTATTAATGAGATAATAAACCAAGCTTGTTGCTAATGAACTGATTCATTCAACTGCTGAATTTAATTAGAAAAACACTTAACATTCCAGCAGATGTTCTTATTTTGTTTCAGTACACTTGTATTTTCACAAAACAAGCTGACAAACACATCAGTATCCATATTTATATGCTTTATTCTTGAAGTCTTGTTGTATCGTAACATATAAATTCAGTGGGTCTGACCAACAGGGAAGTCTAAGGTAAACTTTTAAATCTTCAGTATTTGTGGATAAGTGACCAGATTTTGAATGACTTCTCATGCCTTGTGTAGACCAAAGATAGTACTCAAGGGATTCTTGTTCTAAGGAATTATTACTAAACTTTACTAACGCACTTAACAAATTTAACAGAAGCATGTTTGTGCTTCCAGAGTAATTTCAATGTTCATAGGAACTAGCAAACAGACATCAAGTGTACATGATGTATACTTCCAAGTCTCATTTGGAGAAGGGAAGATACATATCCCAGCACAGTGTGTATGCAAATTTAGGTGTGTAGGATGTGCATAGTTTCTTTTCCAGTCTGCATCTTCTCCACCACCCCTTGCATCTAAAAGCAATGCAATACCCTCTTTCTCTAGAATGTCTGGAATAGAACAGAGAAATCTGCCTTACACAGAGTCAGACCATTGTTCCATTTAGCTCAGTACTGCTTGCATGAATTGGCAGTGGCTTCCCAGTGTTTCAGACATGGTTAAAGTCATAAGAAAAACTGTAGTGGATCAGACCAGAGGCCTTTTTTTAATCCTGCATTCTCTTGTCATACCTGGCCAAGCAGGTGCCAATAGAAAGCCCACAAACAAAACTTCAGTGTATTAGCACCTTTCTGCTTATGCTTCCCAGAAGCTGCTTTTGAGAGGTGTTTTACCTCTCGTACTGGGAGTAACAAATAGCTATTATGACTAGTAGTTATTGGTAGCTTTATTGTTGTTTCCTGCCATCAAGTCATCTCCTCTGCTGTAGGCATGCATTGCACATGGATGTCATGATGGTGGAGTTCATGGACAAGCTTGACTTCTCTTCACATGTATGGGTGTACACTGTGCATTCCAACCAGTGTTTGTGTAGGCAGTTCTTGCAAGTCACAGGGGTTTGTTTTAATTTGTGGGAACAGAAACAGGGTACTAGTATGATTACATGCTTTGGGAAATGTTCATTTAGTACCAGGCTCAATGCTTTCAAGTTCAAGGTTGTGGCTTTCTTTATGGATTTAATCCATCCTATATGTGCTTCTCTCTTTTGTCTTCTGCTTTTGACTTTCCCTAACATGTTTGTCTTCTCCATTGAGTCTTGCCTTCTTGTCATGTGACTGAAGTATGAGAGCTTCAGTTTTGTCATTTTTAATTCTAGAGAAAGCTCTGGCTTGATTTGGCAAAAACCCACTTGGGTTGCCCTTGTCTACCCCTTTTCCATTCCTACCCGGGAGTTAATGTCTGGGATTAAACCTGACTGTTTGCATTCAAAGCATGTACTCTGCTACTGAACTGTAAGTCCTTCTGCAGGTTCTTTGAGGGGTTAGAGCATATTAAACGACTGGTGGTTTGGCATATATGCTTTTCCAAGTATGGGTAATTGTAAGGATGTTGGCAGTACTAATCCCTGATAAACATCAGTGATGTAACACCCAATTTGGTGCCTCCTGAAAGTACCAGCATAATGTGTTCATGCTGTGCAATAACTTTGAAATTCTTTTGTCCGATTTTGGTTTTAATCCCTTGATAACCTGCTGCCTGTTAGTTCATCTTGTGAAATGATTGGCATTTGTTAGGGTGTTACAGAAGATTGGCTTTCCAAGTAGATGCATATATACCACAGTAAGTCTGCATTTACTGTCCAGTTAAGTATCGTGGGAGTCCTACATGTACAAGAGAACCAGTGTGGTATAGGAGTTAAGAACATGGAACTGGGACTCAGGCAATCTGGATTCTAGTCCACACTTGGCCATAGAGCCAACTGGGTGACTTTCAGACAGTCATAGACTCTCAGCCCAACCTACCTCACAGGGTTGCTGTTGTTGTGGGGATAAGCTTGAGAGCAGGAAGAGGAGAATTATGTACATGATTTTAAGTTCATAAGAAAAGCGCAAGATAGATATCAAATATGTACAAAAATCTGTGCGCCAACCAGTAAGGGCTTGCATTGATACCAAATGTACATCATAGCCAGAACTTGATGGTCCATACTAAATGTACTATAAATGGTCTCTTCTCTTTCTTATCTTCCCTGCCCCACATTTTTGATTGATTACAAGAAAATGTGCTGATTACCCAGGAAGAAATATTTGGTGGCTTTGCTAGTAAATACCTTCCTTTTTAATGTTATGGCAGCCATACTGAAATGAGTTATCTCACCATTCTTCTTTTTCTATACATTTACTACTGTCCACATATGTCTGTTTCTTAACTTTTTTTAAATGTCGATTCTGAGGAAAAACTAATGCAATTTTTGTAAGTTACATTATATTTTGTTTCCTGCAGACCAGAGAGACTGTATTTTGGAGCCGCTTTCTCTGCCAGAATGTCCAGGTGGCATTTCTACTGTAGAAGGCTCTCCATCTGTGCCTTGTCTATTCTGTGAAGAATATTCTCCAGTATCAGAACAAAACCAGCTTCTAAAACACATGATTATAGAACACAAGCTTGTCATAGCAGACGTCAAGCTGATAGCAGATTTTAGGAGGTATGTGTTTTCTTTTTTGCTTAAAATTAGGTAATACAACCTAGCATGGAAATTGTCATGTTCTAGCATCATGGGTGTAATTTGAATTGGATTTATTGGTACCTCCACTGCCAGGAGCTGGTGCTTTTTCATTCTCCATGTTTGGAGCAGAACAGTGGACCCATCAGTAGCTAAAAACATTCATTCATTCATTCAAAGCATTTTATATAATAAATGTATAATATATAAGATTGATTCTACTCTCACATGGGTGGAACACTGTTTGCACAACAGGGGTTCCACTAATGAGATGGGACTTCCCTGTCATCTCCTCTGTACTACAGTCCTTGAAGTGCAGCAGTTACTCTTTATGTAGTTCCTCAGAGCTCTGGACCATTTTCAAGACTGGGGAACTGCAGGGAAGAGGGAAAAGATGTTCTAGTTGTGGTTACAATGCATTGTTGAAATGATACAACCCATATATCCTAACGTTCAGGTTCTCAGATAGAGAAACTATTTCAGTGGAGATAATACAATAAGCCAATGCTAGGAAATAACTATAGATGTGAAAAAGCTAAGACACTTGGATGTTTATATGAAAATAAAACTGTGGATATGAATGGAAGGCACAATAGTCTCAGATACAAGGCTAAAATCTTCTACAGTAGGTAATATATATGGAGAAGAGTTTCCAATAATGAACAAATTAGATACAAGAACATATTCCAAAAATAGGCCTGACCAGTGGCCTTTGGGGCTGCTTTCAAAAACCAGAATGGAGGCCTATCTTGTAAATGACTTTTTTCAATGAGAAACTGTTGCATGAATAACTGTCCAGAATAGTAGCCATGGATATGGGCATAGGTTCTTCTCGTTTGCTGATCATTGTTTCTCAAGTTCTAGTACCTATATTTCAGTTGCTCCTTCAATAGAAGGCAAATATGCAAACACAAGTAGAACCTTTTTCTCTTTTAGTGGATTTGCACATAGTTAGATCAGTCTCTGCATAATAGTAGTAATCCATGCAGGAAATATACTGCTAGCAAAAAGAATATGATGAACCCATCCCAGGAGAGGGGTTTTTATTCTGTTTTTTGTGTTCTCAGTAGCATGTTCCAGGTCTTGATAATTCACAGCTAATCATTCTTCCCTTAATATGTTCCATATTGCTATTAATTGAGTGATAGCCTGTGTGAACTTGCCCTTCTGTTAGTGCATTGGCCTCAAGTGCTAACTGCACACTCTAGTAACTAAAGTTCCAGAATAAATTACTGAGAATTGCTGCAGTCTGTGTCAAGTAAGACAGTAGACCTTGCTCTTATTCAACAAGTCCTATTCAAAACAATAAATGTTGTTGCTTAGCAATGCCTTATAGCCGGTGTTCCAGTCTGTCCATATGTTCTGTCTGACACTGTCTTTCCTCTCTGATATCTGTAAAGGTGCTTTGCTTCTCATTTCATGAATCTTGCTTCTGATGGTAAAGATCAGGGTCCTTCCTACACTAGTTGTTTACCATGCAGCACTGTTGGATTTGAGTTGCCTGGTAAGCAACAAAAAAGTATGGGAATCTTTTTGCCATTGTCATGAAAGTGAAGCCCTGTGCTAATGTTCAGCCTGCAGATACAAAGGTTAAGAGTACAAGACCCAACCCAAACATTGCCAAATGCCCAGTTCCTCTGTAGATCTTCATGAGTACAAAGATCTTCAGAGGCATGTAAGCCCATTCACAGCAAAGGATTAGACAAAAAGGAACCCTGGAAAGGTGGACTGTAAGCAAATGCTGCACACACATTAAGGTCAGGTGAATTATCCTGTGTTTAAAGGTGGGTCTGTCTTTAAAGGTGGGACCTTCTTAAGATAACATACAAGATGAAAACTACAAGAAGTGAATAAAAAGGTCCATATTTCAACAAAATCCAGAAAAGCTGTGGAGCAAGCAAACTGAAAAGAGAGAGGACTTGAAGGTTCTGAGAAATAGGTAGAAACTGTAGTAAAGATAATTCAGTTTGTTTGTTTATTTATTTATTTATTTTATGCTTTTTTCTGCGAGTTCATACACATATTCTATATATGACATGCAAGCTTGCATAACCATTTTCTAGGTTTAGCTATTTTCACACTCAATAGATTTTATTAGAAATTCTTAGATTTACTTTGCACCTTTTTTCCACAATTACCATGGACTTCAGTGCATCCAGTATGCCCTAGTACCATTTGTAAGCATGAACAAAGAGCATTCTAGGACTTGGCCCTGTTTCAGCATAGGCACATAGCATTAGCTAATTTCCTTTTTATTTCTTAAAAAAATATACACACACCTGACTATTGGCTTTGGAGTTTAAGTTCTCTAAAAAAATAGCATATCTTCCCATGAGGAGTTTCATTCAGACTTTATCTGTTCCTTTTCTTGCCAAATTATGACTGTAGTGTGCACATATCCAGAAGTTGACCTCTTGATAGTAATGCCATATGGTGCTGCTTGATATTGTGCCACGGACCAGGCTCATGCTGAATATCTTGGTATTCGGTTTGTTGGAGCAACACATTTTACTGTCAGTTGGATAATTAAAACTACTAAATAAGACTCGGCATTCACACAGAATACAATGTTTTTTAAATCTTCTGACCAAGAATGCGCAAAGCATCTGCCTTTGTTAGAGTAAACAAGTTTTAAAGCAAAATAAGATGAAAAGAAACTAGGACAAATAAAATCCTAAGAAACATTTGTTACTTTAATCAGCAGCCTAAGTTTGCTATGTTTAAAATCGAATGCTAGTCATTCTGTCTGGTTTCTTTATGCAAAAACTGAGCATCTGAAGATTGCTTGGTAATGGATTTCCAATTTGCGACTTATCTGTCCTGGAGATACTATTCTGGCTAAATAGAAATGTCCTAATCTTTGAAAAACAGACTCCACAAAAGAGTAGTGACAATAATGAGTGGATGAAGTGTCCAAATCTACACAAGAATTGTATATTAAGACTATAATGAAATGAACTCCAGCTTGAGAAATGTTTTGTAACATAGCTGCCTACGTTTTGCGGCTTCTTTGTTTCCTTTAAAGATATGCATTGTACTGGAAGAAAAGATTCACAGAACAACCCATTACAGACTTTTGTTGTGTAATAAGAACAAATTCTGAAGCACTTCCAGGTGAGTGTGCTCTGTATCCTAACTTGTATAGGCCTGGTATTCAAGATCCTGGCTACCAGTTGAACACCAGTTTGGTGACATATCTTCATCCTGAGCAGCATACATTAAGCTTGTCAATGGTTCTCACCTACTTCATCCACATGCATGCATGCTGGCTCACCTGCTCAGTTACTGAGCTTGCAAGCACAAGATGTAGTGATAAATGGCATTTAAGGGAGAATTTCCCTGCAGCAGACCATCAGTGGCTCCTAATCCTGATGGTGCTTTGCTACCTTTAGTATCTGAAGTGGTATGTGAGGGAACACAAGCAGGATAGTGCTGTTTTACTCAGATATGTGGGTTTCCCACAAGTAGCTGATTAGCCACTAAATTAACAAAATGCTGGACTAGATGGGCCTTGGTCTAATCCAGCATAGTGGCTGGCTGTGGGAAACCCACAAGCGGTACATGAGTGCAACAGCATCTTCCTACCCACGTTCCCCAGCAACTGGTGTATCCAGGCATACTGCTTCTGTTACTGGAGGCAGCATATTGTCATTAGGGTTTGTAGGCATGCCAGCCTTCTGGATTTGCCCAATCCTCTTTTAAAGCTGGTGGAACACTAGGTGCCAGGGGAATGGTAAAAAGCTGGAGGGGAGAAAGCCTCTGCTTGAACTGTATATAGCACTCCCAATGCTGAGATCTTGTGCTTAATTGGACTGCCTTAATGATAAGTAAATATAATAGTTGCTGCTACTGCAAAAGAAACTAGTGCCTGCTGTGGGACATAAGATTAATCATTGCAATACTGTACTGCTGTTACCATTTCCAGAGGGGTAGTTGTGTTAGTTCATTGCAGCAAAACCAATGAAGTCTTTTGTACTTTGAAGCCTGATGTGTTTATTATGTAAACTATTGTAGACTATGACTTTATCAGATGTGTGAAGCGTCATCAAGGGTTATTCTAGGCTGCCTCTATTAGCAGCTTTGTACCAGGTACTTGAAAGATGTATACCACAAATATGAATTGCTTAAAGATAGTATTATATCAAGTGATATATAAGTACTTGAACCAACTGATTAATTAATCTACATGTTAAGCCAATAGAGGCTTTTTTTAACGCATTTGTACAGGGGACAGATTTCAAGAAAGAAGCAGCTAGCCTTTAAATTTCTCTTCAGTGAAACTTTTCTCTTAAGTGTATTGATCCTTATTTTAGTCAGAGGCCAACACACACTTACTAAGTATTTAATGTATCATGTAGTCTGACCCAAAACCTCAGGAACTGGGGAACATATAAATAGCTATGTTATTTTAAACTGATGTTTCTTCTCTATCTCTGGATTGAAGAACTTGTGGCCTATGGCATTATTTCATGTGACCCTGAATATCATCTGGTTCTCTGAATACTCTGAGTCTATTCTTACTCTCTGACTGACCTTTGGGAAATCTCTGCCCGCTTCTCTTAAAATACAGCCTTCCAAAGTTGTTGCCTTAGAGTCTAAATCAGAATTGGGAAAAGGGGCAGATCTGGAATTCCTGGAACTAGAATGCCAAGGGTAGTAGATCCACAGATGAGCTGGGAAGCTGTTGGGAACCCATCCACATCTGGTTCTGTGCAAAACTATGTTGAACACATTGAGTTTGATAGAAGCAGATTTAATATTATTAGTCCAAAGGAATAGAATCAAATATTGTATTCTGCCCAAACCTGTAAGCAGCCTGAACAACCTTGAAGGGGAAGTCAACTCCTTTTGGTAGGTCAGGGAAGAGGAGCGTACAATTTAGACATATTTCCCTAAAAGCTTGTATTCTAACTTTGCAGGTGTCTTTTGTTATTTACTTATGCAATATTCTTGTTGTGTCACAAAACCAGTTCTAGCTGGGCAGTTTTAATGGAATATTCTGGTTAGAAGCCTTTTGTCCTGATCTGCTTAGAAGGAGTGCTGGGAAAGACAGTCTCATCTAGTTCCACTTTTTAAGTGTGAGAAGGAGCAAAAGGGAGCAGAGGACCAGAGTGGTGCAATGCCTAGAGCAGTGTCGGCAAACCTATGGCATGCGTGCCACAGCAGGCACACAGAGCACTCTCTGTTGGCATGCAAGCGTAGTCACCCCAGCATCGCCCAGGCAGCTGAGCATCGGATAACAGCGCACATAGGGGCTACGGGCATGCTCAGAAATGAGTAGCGGCGTCAGTCAATGATGTCACAAGCCACGACTCATTAGCCGTGACTCGTCCGAGCTTTCGCATGGCTGGTCAGTGCGCTGCCAAGGATATATATATATTTGCTTGGACTGACTGTGAGTTTTAATACATTCGTTTTTATTAACACAAGATTTTACTTTTGAGTTTTCTTATGAAAAAAATAAATTCAATATCTAAGATTTAGCAAAGTGATGTTCTGATTAAGAGATTCTTTTAATGTTCTGCTGTCCCCCTGGCATATTTGACTCTGCAGCATTATATTTAGTTGTTTTTTTCTAAACTAAAACCTCAGTATTTGGGTTTTATTGCAGTGTTGGCACTTTGCAATAAATAAGTGGGTTTGGGATTGCAGTTTGGGCACTCAGTCTCTAAAAGGTTTGCCATCACTGGCCTAGAGTGTTGGGTTGAGACTTGGGATATCCAGGTTCTAGTCCTCACTTGGCCATGAAGCTCATCAGCTATTTCTGGACTAATCAAGGAAAGCCTCAGCTACTTCCCAATGCTTTTTGGAGACTAATCAATAGAAGGGTGAAGGATTATGCAACTCAATTTGGGTTCCATGTCAGTGAAAAATGGTAGGATATAAATATAATAGACAAAATAATCAGCTCTGCCTCCAGACTGTTCCTGTGGGCCGATGGAAAAAGGGAAATAGGTTCCCCGCCCCCATTCTAACAATGTGATGGCAGTTTGCGAAGAGAGGACCTATTCTACCCCTTCTGTCTATATATGGTGAGGTCTGTGATTTGACTCTCTTTTCAGATAAAAATTTCTGTACTAGGAAGTATGAGGGATTTGTGTTCATATATGCCCTTAGTGTGGTAAATATTCAGATTATAGCTGCCTCAACAGGAGCAAAGCATGCAAAGAGTTATCATCCTTGCCAAGTAAAAACCCTCAAATGACTTACCTGAATGCATTTCTGTTTACAAGTACGAAGCTGCCACTGTCTGCCTTAATGTTGAAGTGGATTGCAAATTTCTGAGAATTCTCTTAAATGTGATAGTGCACTTGTTTCAATTGATCACATGGCTTTTCTTACCCTGTGCCAACTCCACCCCACCCCAATAACTTTAAATTTGGGATGCTTCCAAACAAAGCTTTTATTGTTCCGTCACTGCGTTATTCATGGGATTTTATAGGGAGGCTCTAGACAATGACAGCTTCTATTTGTAAACTCTCAGTGTGTTTTCCCACCATTTCTTCAGTTTCTTCTTTGCGTCAAATAATGGTTACAAAGAAAGTGACAAAATAGCTGCACAATATCTTGACTGGCAGCACTAGGAGCCTTCCATCTGGAAGCACCCTTAAATAAAAGCTGAACATAACAAAGATTTATAGTATATGTACAAAAGTGACAAGCATTCCAAAAGTTACATTTGATCTCTAATCTAACAGAGGACCAGGACAATTATTTTCTTTTGTGTGATGCTCTGCCTGAAGACCGAACACTAAGGGAGAATCTCCAGCAGCAGAAACTGGTAAGACATTATTTTGTGAGAGCATATTGCTCTTATGAGAGAAACTGCAAAAAAATTAAGGTTTAAACTGTTTCCCAGATCACATTTCAGTAATGTTAGAGCTTGATCTTAAACAGTTAGTTTAAAAGTCAATCCCAGTATCTGTTAACTTGCTTTTTAATAAAAATGCTGAGGATTTTTCAAGAAATCCAAGGCTGCAGTTTCACATGTCTACAATGTATGTTGCACATTAGTGTAAAAAGAAATTCTGGCATTAAGATTTTGGTTTAGAAAAAGGCTCTTTTTGGTTTGGTTTGGTTTGGTTTGGTGGTTTGGTTTGGTTCATTTTAGTGCTCAGTAGTCCATCAGGCTTTTGCATAGATATGTTATTATTTCATTTCTTTACAGCCCCATAGTCAAAGCTCCCTGGGTTACATATAAACACAGAAACAAGAAAATTTTAAAAGTCAACATAAAAAGGAATCAAACTAATGGTAATAAAATCATTTAACACATTCTTAATTGATTTGTATACTAAAAATGTTACATTAAAATAGCTCAACCTATGTTATCTGTCAAAACAAAATAAATTCTCTTCTCTAGAGCTAGCTTAACAAATTTAACAGTACAGGAGGTCATGAAACCATCTGTTTCACTCCATAAAATTAACTGGTGATATTATGTCTTAGTCCCTCATCCACCTCTGCAAAATAGAGCCAAAACTAATGGTAAATTCCTTGAAAGGGGAAGGCCAAACTAGATCTAAGAGGTCCTTCTGCTCCCTTTGTTTCTTTGGACTAATTCATACATGCATATATATATCTCAGTGCTGTATTTGGTGTCTTCTCATTGAATAACATGGTTCACATGTATTTAAGTGACTTGGGATCAAGGAGCACTCTGAGGCTGTAAACCTTGTCCTTTAGGAGAAGTGTAACCCCATCCAAGGCAGGATGGAAATTCCCCAGTTGAATGGACAAACTTCCCACTAGCAGTGCTTCTGCCTTGTCTGGATTGAGCTTCAACGTGTTGGCCCATATCCAAGACAATACCAAACATAGGCACTGGTTGAGAACAATCACTTCTTCATCTGGATTAGATGAAAATGAGATGTAGAGCTATGACTGACCTCTCCCAGTAGTTTCCTGTAGATATTGAAGAGCATGGGGGACAAAATAGAGCCCTGCAAACCTCTATGGCACAAAGGCCATGGTACAGAACATAAGTCCCCCAACACCACCATCTGGAGACGGTTGGCCAGATAGGAGCAGAACCTCTACAGAGGGGTGCCCCCAACTCCTAGTCTGACCAACCTCTCCAGTAGGATACCATGGTTGATGGTATCAAAAGCCACTGAGAAGTACAGAAGAATCTTGCTCCCCCTGCCTCTCTCCCAGCAAAGGTCATCCCATGGGGCAACCAAGGCAGTTTCCACTCCATAACAAGTCTTGAAGCATGATTAAATGGATCCAAACAATCTGTTTCCTCTAGAAGAGCTGTCTGGCCACAACCTGCTTGATCATGGTATTCAGGTAGGAGGTGATAGACTAATCTTAGCAATTGGTCTAAGGTTGTTTACATTGGTTGGGTCCAGGCTGGGTTTTTTCAGGAGTGGTGCAATCACAGTTGTTTTTAAGGCAAGTGGCACCATTCCTTCTCTTAAAGAGGCATTGGCAACCTACTGGACCCAAGAACAAGTCCCCTCATTAGATTTTTCAATCAATCAGGACGGGCAAGCATTGAGTGAACAGGTTGTAGATTGGACAGAACCAAACACCCTGTCCACATCCTCAGGCCACAATAGCTCAAATTCATCCAGCAAAATGGAACCAGGCAGTGCGCTGAACACCACTGCTGATGGAACTAGGATAATCACACTGTTCAAGTTGCTACAGATCCAAGAGACATTATTTTCAAAATGTCATGTAGATTTGTCATAGAGGACCTCTGAGGGTTCAGTCAAGTCTCCTTTGAAGCCAGGATATAAAAGGCCCTGAACCACCCAGAAAAGCTTTGCTGGATGATGCTGTGAGGATGCAGTTCTGGTGGCAATAAAGCACTTCCTCACCACCTTCACCACCATGGAATAGGCTTAGTAATGAGCACTAAGCCGTGTTCAGTCAGATTCATTTCAAGTTCTCCTCCACCTGAGCTCTAGACATCTTCCCTCTTGCTTTATTGCCCTCAGCTCTGGACCAGTTCCTACACTAAGGAACTGGTCAGGTTCTATTGGGTGGAAGAAGGAGTTTGGAGGCAATCATGTCAGCCAACTAGGCTGTCTCTGTATTCTGCAGGGCTACCTGAGTTTCCCCCTATAGCCTTCTAGAACCTATCTGTATCCTTCAGCCTCTAGGGGCAGACCCTCTTAATGGCTCCCACACACTTGCAGAGGGAAAAGGGGGCCAATAGTGCAAAAGTCAGGAGGAAGTGATCTGACCATGGCAAAGGGGTAGATGATAGTCCCCAGATTTTCAGATCACCGTCCTCCTGCCCAGTTGAGAAAATCAGGTTCAGAGTGTGACTTTTTATATGCAAGAGCTGATGACATATTGAAACAGCCCCATGGTTGTCATGGCTACCATGAAGTTTTGAGCTTCGTCAGACAAGGCTTCCTCTGTGTGAAAGCTGAGATTCCCCTGGACCAACATCCTGGGATTTCTCAACACCAGGTCAAAGACTACTTCCACCAGCTCAGGCAGGAGGTGGCTGGGCAGTGGAATGGGTGGTACAAAAGCAGGATCCCTAATCTGTCTCAATTGCCAAGGCCCAAACTTGAATGGAAAGGAAGTCTCAAGATGGAGGTGGAATGTCAATTAACTATGGCCACCCCCCTCCATAGCTCTTGGGATGATGTTGGTGCTGCACTGAGTATCCAGATGGACTGAGCTGGGAGAGGGTAAGTCCACCAGCCTCATCCCCCCAGGTCAAAATAATACAGTCAAGGTCAGCCATCCAATCCATGATTAAATCATGGATCAGAGAGGTCTTCTTATAGGCTGATGTGGCATTAAGCAATAGTGCCACAAGGTTTGAGGACAGACTAGCACAGTTGCCAGGAATCATCCAGCTGGTGGAAGGACCAGAAGAGGGGATAGCGGTAAGACATCTGTCTCCTCTTTTACACTGGCCTGTCCATCCCCCAACACCATGTTTTCCCACACCCAAAATTAGTGGAATTGGAGCACCCACACTCTTGCCCATCATAACTAAATAAGATGACAAGATAAAGGTGAGTATTAATCATAGAGCTATCTGCTCACAGAATAATAGCATAATAGCAAAATGATTGTTTTAAATCGATTGTTTTAAATAGTTATATTAAGTAAATGTATAATTCTATTGTTCTTTTTATTGTTCTATTTTTATTGATTTATCATGTATTTTCATATTGAATTGTTTTATTAGTTGTCATTGAACATGATGTAAGGTACCCAGAGAGCCTTATGAGTATGTTTGTGGCATACAAATAAATAAATATTTAGACACACACACCCCAAAATCCTACAACTCTAAGCATTCTCTAGCCATCTTGTGCATGCTGGAAATTGTAGGATTTTTCCTGTCTAAATCAGCATAGAACTACACCCTAAAACATTAATGTCTGGGATTACAGGTATTTGCATAAAAGAAAAGGCATACTCTGTGAGCCTCAAAACAACTTGGGTAGAATAAATTCTTGTTTATTACTATTATTTGTTTATAATAAAGAAATAGAATAAATTTTACCTAGTGTAGAATGTATTATCTTTATTGTTCTTAATTTCTGAAGCATTTTTACTCTCAAGTGTACCACAGTTATTAACCACTTTATCTCTTCTGAGGTGGCAGGAAACAGCTCAAATGTCTTCACCGCAGGTTGTCTTCTATTACTTAAGAATAAAATATGAATAATTTCTTGCTTCAATCTCTCTTGTGGAAAGAACATACTTTGAGTATCTTTTACTCACTTTACTTGCTTGAAGCAATGGTGCTCAGTAGTAAAACTGTAACATTCATTTAAACTGGAGGAGAAAATCCCTAGAAACAGATAAAGAAATATTTGTTGTTTAAAAAAATAAAGCACTGCTGAAGAACTTTTGGGAATATGTGACCAAATATGCTTCTTTGCATTGAGTTTAAACTCGATTAACATGAAAAATCTGTTTTTATTGACGTGGATGCACCTGTTCCTCAAGAGAGTACAAACTATCTTATTGACTTAAGGAAAAACATGGTGTCCTTTGCAGACTAAGTCCTTGAGTGATCTGGACTTTGTATCTTCAACTTGCTTTAGGACTTTAATTTAGGATAAGATAGATTTTTTCCTAGGCTGCTTTTAGGCTGGACTTCTATCTCACAATTGCCCTGGCTTGTTCACAGAATATTACAAGGAATTTAGAAGTCATCACTTCCTCCTGTCACCATCCCATGTTTTTTTATTTGCTCACCCATCTATTTTCTAACCACAGAGAATATGTTCAGGAGAGAAAGACAGAACAGCTGCATAGCACCTTTTGATGAGAAGTTTTAGGAGCTCTCCATCTAAATGCACTTCAGTTTTCATTTGAACTGCAATGGATTAGGGTAGCCTTCAAGTCATTTTATTTTGCCTATTGTTCTTCCTTCATGCTGTTGGAATATATGAAAGTAATAGTGGAAGAGAATCATATTTTCAAATGAATGAAGTGCCAGTTTTCATGGTCATACATTAGCTAATGATGAGAGACAGTAGAAAATTTCTAATTTTCTCCCAGGCTATTCAATTTTTTAAAAAATGAATGGGATTGCGTATATTTCTTTCTATTCAATAGAGAGAAGTTCTGGAGCAACAACACCAGGAAAGATATGATGCAGACTTTTGTGGGATATGCATGTTCTGCGACAAAGAATTTACTGGTAACAGGTCAGTGTTGAAAATCTGACTATGTGTCTTCAACCACATGGGCATCGCAATCATGTGAATGGAGAAGTAGGCATAGCTTGTGCTGGTGCAGCAAAAAATAGCATTTTAAACCTGATAAATTACTAGAATTGCCACAAATCATCCAACATAAGGAAAGCTCTGCTGGGGAAAAACATCTTGCTCAGCCTCCCCCATCCTGTTGCCCTCCAGATGTTAACTGCATGATGGGAGTTGTAATCCAAACATCTGGGAAGTACCCAGTTGGGGGAGGAAGCTAACTGGAGGAAGCTAACTGCCCGTCCAGGGCTAGGCAAATGTGGGTGGTCTGTGAACATTTTCACCTCTTGGATTCTGCTGTGGGCTTCATTACAGTTGCCATCTCATAAAATTCCCCTCTTAGCAACAGCAGCTAATATTTATGGTTTGCTACAGAAGATGAGAAGAAAAGTGAGTTAAATTTGACATTTAACCATTCTGCAGTGGGAAACTGTGTATGTATGTTTGTTGCCATGAATTTCAGCAGTGTGGCAGGTAGTGGCAGGGTCTTGAGTTTCTCCTCCTTGCTAGATCATTATTCTGTTTGATGCAGTAGGTAATCAAATTTTCAGGAAGCCCATAAGCAAGACATAAAGGTAACACCTTTCCCTTAATTGTTATACCCTTGCAGCAATTGGCTAAGTAAAAGATACTGCCTCTTATCCTGTAGGTTCCATTTAGCCATCATAGCTAATGAGTTTTGATAGATCTGTTGTCCATGATTTGACTAAGTCTCCTTTTAAAAACCAGTGAGCATCCCCAAATTTTGGGCAGGGAATTCCATGTATTTAATAATGTGCCGCATGAAAAGGCACTTGCTTTTGTCAGCCTCAAATCTACTTGCAGTCAGTTCCACTGGATGATTGCTCAGTAGCAGCATCAGTGAAATGACCTGAATAAAAGGTTCTTCCAGGTATTTGGAAGGTTTTGCAAGTAGCCTTGAGGTAGAACTTCACTATTTAGAGTTTTTGAGAATTGTGGAGTTCTGGCCTTCATGAAGGGAACCTTGCAAACTAGTCTGCCTGTGCTAAGGGAGGAGAAAAAAAGGAGGTAGTTTTGCAGTAGGTAAGATATTCATACCGCTTTATCTTCTCTCCTTTCATTCCCTCTCAGTTTTTGTTCCTGCTTGCCATCAGCTTCTTCTGTAGCACGCTTTGATCCCTTTCTTTCAGTACCTGATTTCAGCAGGATTGAACAAGTGGGGATTGAGAAAAAAGAAAGGCTGTTGTGTTAGGTCCTGGAGGAGAAGAAAGCAGGCAGGGAGGAAGCTAATGAATGGAGAAACATTTCTTTAATGGTTACTTCAATCTGATGAGAGCTACAATTGCTGTAACTCTCCCATCCAACAAGCAGTTAAAGAGACAGAGCTCTTCTTAGGTGCAGTTACTGGCAAGTTTCTCCAAATGATATTGCCTTGTCATTTATTTACCTTTCATTTCTCTTCTTAGCCTTTGCCTTTTTGTGCCTCCCTACCTCCCCTTGTCTTTTTTCTCCACTTTTCCATGGCTTCTGCCTTTGCCTCCTTGTTTCCTTCCTGCCCTCCTCATCTTGATCAAAATCAGGTATCGGTTTTGGATTTAAGCATCCAGACCAAGGTGTGATATGCTGCTGTTAGATGGCAGTAATGTCTGAAATGTACACTTTCTAATTTAGTTACACAAAACCTACTTTTGCTGCTAGAAAAGCAATTATTACTGTTAACATACTCAGTATTGGTTTTATAATGCTTGAAATTCAAATTTTCTGGAGCTGAGTCCAAATAATCTCTAGCAGCAAAAGAAAAAGTGCAATGACTTAGTTTAGTTTAAAATAGTCCTTTAAGTGGAACTGGTACATTTCTGGGTATTAAGAGCAGTTTCAGGCCCATGCTTCCGGCTTTCTTCCTCTCTGCATGGTGGTCCCCACAGTGAAAAGACACACATTTGCCAAAGGGAAAACCACATGTATTTTTAGCAATGCTACTTAATTTATCGCACCAGCCTTTTCACTAAAGCATATATTTGAAGCTCTCCTAAAAGTACACCATACAAAGTATCTAATACTCAACTTCAATTCTTCTTTTGTAGATCTGTCCTTCTCAATCACATGGCCAATGAGCATGCATTCAATGTTGGGCTGCCAGATAACATTGTTAACTGTAAGGAATTCTTAGATCTTCTACAGAAGAAACTCGACAGGTACCTTTCAGATCTTTGTTATCAGAATGGGTTTGTATTGTTCCGAGCCAGGGCTCCAGCAGCAGTATACAGTGATAAACCCTTTTGTCCCAGAGAGTAGCTGGAGAAGAACAAAGAATAACTTGTGGATGTGATGATGGAAGGAATGGTAAGGAAGGAGCTGAACTATTGGTGAAAAGTTGAGGGGAAGAGGCAGTTCAGGATACAACAGAGAACTTCTTCCCTTTTTGTCCCAGCCTATATCTTTGCACCTAGACAAGAACCATGACAATACATTAGACAGATATCTGAGGCTTCATTTCATGAGACTATTCTGTATCCTTCCATAACTTTAGCTTAACCTGCTGAATTGAGGTGATCGATCAAAATGTTTGTGAGATCCAGGTAGATGTGTCTCCTGATACCTTTTGGTCTCCAGTAGGTTTGTTTGGAGAATGTTCCTACCAGCATATCTGCTAGTAACTGTTTGCCCATTGGAAAAGGTCCATGCAAATGAAGCTACTTACCTACCCCGCTCTTTCTCCCATTGAGGAGAAGATGCAGGACAGATAAAACTGCTCAGCCAGCTTCAGTTGTCCTTCACCCTTCCCATACAGGAGAAGCAAAGGACTTGCAAAGGCAAACAGCACACTCATCCAGTATGGGCAAGGTGTTCCTTCAAGATCAGAGATAAGAAGGCAGTTCCTCTCCCTGCCTCCTCCAAAGGCCCCAGGAGGGGCAAGCCAGGGCAAGGGGCCTGGGGAGAGGCACAGACAAACAGGGGAAAGCCTGCACAGGAAGCAAAGCATCTGCAGGTCAGAGGAGCAGCCTCAGCAGGACAAATTGGGCACATGTCCACCCATCTTCTAAAGTTGTGTATACATTTTTCTTCTCATGTCTTACCATCATGTTGGTTATTACTACTTTATTGCATACCAGGGGCTGGGATGTAACTTATAGCCCTCCATATGCTTACAATTCCTTTCAGTCTTGGCCATCATGGCCAATGGTGAGGAATGAGGAAATTGTAGGCCAAACCATGTGGAGGCCCATAGGTTGCCTTCTTTTGCTATATATTGTATAGGAATAGTCATATGAGGTACTTGATGCTCTTCATACCATAATGCTCTTATAATAAGAAACATTTTTAGCAATATACTTTATATCAGTATTCCCATGTTGGTACTCTCCAGGTGTTTGGAACATCACCACTCATCATTGCCTATTGGCTGGAATGTTGAATAGGCAGAACATCTGGAGGATGTTAAATTGGAGAAAGCTGCTTTGCATATTGAGTTCATCCATGTTTCCCACATTGAAGGGCATTTCTGTGCAATACTGAATAATTGCAGTAGCTAAAGTTACATATTTCTACTTGTTGAACATGCAGTGATTTTACACATGGAAATAGCTTTGTTTGACAAAATCTTATTTCAACTTCATGCGACTTTGAAAGTATTTTTGGTGTCCTGTGCTAGGCTGATATAGCACAGGCTGATATAGCCTTCTGGTAGAATATATTTACAATTCAATGTAGAAATATTTACCCCCTTTGACTTTTCTACATTTGGTTGTGTTACAACCTGGAATTGAAATGGATTTAATTGGCACTGTTGCCACTTAATGTACCCAAGGTATTTAAAAGGGCAAAATATTTTTACTGAGGCACAAACTGGTTTAAGTATTTACCCTTTTGTTCAATATTTGATAGAAGCACCTTTGGCAGCAATTACAGCTGTAATTATTCTTGGATAAGTCTCTATTACCTTTGTGCATCTGGATCCTGTGAAGTTTGCCTATTCTTCCTGACAAAACTGCTTCATCTCTGTCACATTGGATGGCGGCTATTGGTAAACAGCAATTTTCAAGTCTTGGCATAGTTTCTCAATTGAATTGTGGTCTGGGCTTTGGCAAAGCCAGTCCAATAAATTCTTTTAAAAACACTACAGTGTTAATTCGGCTCTGTGTTTTTGAGTGTTCTCAGGGCAATGAACACTGTTGGCATTGATTACATTTTGCAGGGAGGCACAAAAGTTCAGTTTTGGTCTCACCTACCCAGAGAAAGTTTTCCCACATGTTTGCTGTGTCCTCCACATGTTTTTTGGAATGGGTTTCGATGTGGTTTTGTTTCAGCAATGTCTGTCTTCTTGCTACTTCTCCATATAAAATGCAGATTGGGGAACATTTAACCGAAAGTTGTCCCATGGGTGGTTTTTTCCCTTTTCAGAGCTACCGTTTCTTTCTTGACTAATGCTCTCCTTGTCCAGTCACCAAGTTTTGGTGGACAGTCATCTTGCAACGAAGCCATAGTCTTTCGTTTTTGAAATACTTGATTTAACAGTGCTCCGGGGAATGTTAATAGTGTGCAATGCACAAATATATAAATCCAACCATGATTTGCATTCTGTGCAACTTTATCCTGGAGTTGTTTTGCTAGCTCCTTGAATTTCATGCTGCTGTCTGATTAGGTATGTTTTCCAAGTTCTAGAAAGGTACATAAACCTTTCAGAAAGTGGTATATTTAATCTGGGATCATGTAGCCCTAGAAGTGCACACAGATTATGGCAACATCAATTGCAATTATTTCCAGTAAGTGGCTTTTGGAGGCAGGAGGTTGCATCAGAACTTATTTAAGCATGTCACAGCAAAGAAGCTAAATACTTACACAACCAACAAATGGCCAGTTTGTTTTTATGTATTTAACATTTGTGTTACAGTAAAAATATTGTGCCCTGCACACCGCTGAGCATCTACTGTACATGCATGTGGTGGCAAAGCTAAATCCATTTAATTCCATTCTGAAACACAACAGAATGTGGAGATGTCAAAGGGGGCTGAATACTTCTCCAAGGCAATGTCAATACTATTTAAGGATGTAAAACACAAAAGTATTTACATATTGATATACCTATTTGTAAATAAAAATCGCATTATTTCCAATGCATCAATAATCCCATAAATTCTACAAGACCAAATATCTAATTTAAAAAACTGATCTGATTTTACATGTTTCATACATATGGGATCAATCTCTTTACTGATTCTTGATGGACACACAAGTATATTTTTCATTTTCTTTGAATTGAATTTTCTGGTGATGCTAGTCTTAATGTAGCTAGATATTTCATCATACTTCACTGTTAAAGCAAACTGCTTTGGTCAGAGCTCTTGAAAGTAGACTAGTTAAATTATTGCCTTTGTAGCCATTTATCATTTTCTCAGTTTGCAGTGCCTATATTGTGAGAAAATATTTCGAGATAAGAATACTCTCAAGGATCACATGAGAAAGAAGCAACATCGCAGAATCAATGCCAAAAACAGAGAATATGACAGATTTTATATTATTAATTACCTGGTAAGATGCATGTATAGTTTTGTATGTATAGTCTTTTTTTCTTTCTTAAGGTAACACATAATTACAAAAATAAAATATTATATAGAAAACAAACATTCAACCCCAACAAATAAAGTAGAATTTTAAAAGTAATAAAGTAGTAACTTTTAAAATTCCTTGAGTAAAGGCTAGCACCCGATCAGTGAATGACAGTTACAATTAAAAGCATTCTAGCAACAGGTTCTTAGGATCCCATTTGAAAGAAATCAGTGATGGAGTCAGTCTTCCTGAGGCAGACAGTTCCACAATGACAGTGCCGCCACTGAAAAGTCCCTGTTTCTTGTGCTTGCCTATCTAATGCATCTTGCAAGTGGTCACAAGTGGAAACTCTCTCATAATTGCAATGGATGATTGAAATGTCTGGCTAGAGGCAGGTGGTTCTCTAAATAACTTGGTCTCAAACCCCTGAGAACTTTAAAGGTAGCAACCAACACTTGGAATTGAGCCTAGAAGTACAGTAACACCAGTGAATCCACCACAGAATCTGTATTAATTTTAATTATGTAATTAATTTCTATATCTCCCAACAACTACACCATGTTAAAACATATGAAGACATGATTAAAGTTTTACAGCCCAAAAATGTAAAACCAAATTTTAAACACATTTTCATGTGTGTGTGTGTGTGTGTGTGTGTGTGTGTGTAGACTTGAAGAAAAAAAATTAACAGCATATTGAAGACAATGCCTTCCAAACCTCCAGATGACCTCTTTCAGTGGTTTCATGTAGATGTTAAATAACATGGGAGACTGACCCTGAGGAATCCCATACTGGAGGGGTAGAGCAATATTCCCCAAGCACTACTTTGTGGAGCCCACCATCCAGGTAGGAGCAGAACCACTGCTATGTAGTGTCTCTCACACCCAACTTAGACAATTGCCCCAGAAGGATACCATTGTTGATGGTATCGAAAGCTACTGAGAGGTCCAGGAGGACCAAAAGGAGCACATTCACCCTGTCTTTCTCCTGGCATAGGTCATCATATAAGGCAACCAAAGCTGTTTCTGCGCCAAAACCAGCCTGAACCATGATTGAAGTGGATTCAGATAATCATTTATTTATTTTATTATATATTTATTACAGGCATTTATATCCTGTCCTATCGCCAAGTGCTCAGGACGGCTTACAAAATATAAAAGTACAATCAATCTCATCCAAGAATGCCTGGAGCTGGTTGGCTACCACCCTCTCAAGAACTTGGCCCAGGAAGGCTGTGTTTGCCACTGGCCATTAGATGCCCTGATCGTCTGGTTATTGTATTTATATCCCACCTTCCTCCCATTGTGGAACTCAAGGTGACTGCTTGTGGTTCTCAGCTAGTTTCCCCTCCAAGCTAAGGTCAGCCCCAGACCTGCTTAGTTTCAACATGGTGGATGCCTTATGTACCTTCAAACCACACTCTGTTAATAAAGAAGGCAGCTGCATTTTAAAGCATTCAGATTGTTTTCAAAGACAACTACATGTAGATCACGTTACAGTTGTGTGATGTGAAAAGGCATGGTAAGGCCTGCTTTCTTTAGGTATGAGTGCAGCTGGTGGCTCACCCAGAGCTGAAAAAAGACACCATCGGCTACAGTGCCACTTTGGGTGTTCATAGGTAGCACCAGGTCTAAGGAGGGGGGAAAAAGCTGCATACTAGTCCTTCAGGGTAATGCAAGACTGACTATACACTTCCAACCAGTTTAGCAGGTTTCACTTCCCGCAGCATCTCCATCTTACCTGAATTCAGCTTCAGCTTGTTTGAACTTACCCATTCCAAAACAGTCTCTAGACACTTCTTCAAGACCTTCCACAGCCTCCCTGAGATTTGCAGCCAGTGGTAGAGGTGCTTCAAATCCATGCCTTGATGACACTTGAATCCAGGGGGAAATCTGTGGCTCTCCAGTGCTAGACCAAAATTCCTATTATCCCTGACAGCCAGCCACACTGGATGGAGCTAATGGGAGCTGGACTAAAAATATATCCCCCTTCCCTATACCACCCCAATCTTTTGTGTGGGTGCTGAAAGCAATAGGAGACAAGATGGAACTTTAGGAGATCCCAATAATCAATAGCCCATGGTTGAACAGGGGTCACCTGGCACTACACTTCAAAAAAGCACTGGACCAGTCATAACACCCTGCCCCCAATATCAAAAGGCCAGGAGAACTAATACTTCCTTCATTTACACTATAGTGTAAGTCATCTAGCAGAATGAAAAGCTAATTTTGTCCTCACTCCAGGACGAAGATCAGGTTGGACTGTATCCATATAATCACTAACATCCAAAGGTAGCTGAATGGTATATATACAGTTACTAATTCACTGAGTTGTAAAGAGTATGGGCATGGTCCCTCAAGCTTAATGAGTTTTAAATTTAATTGATTACATGGAAGAGTCAGGGACAGCCTGACACTTTTGCTGCCTTAAGTGGAGAACAAGAAGTTTCCTGCTCCATTTCACCTGCAGAGCCCATCTGGATTAGCCATTCAACAGTGGTTACTGGACAGCATCCTCCACTGCATTAGAGGGCAGCAGGCTATCTTGGGGGAAGCCATATAGCACACATAGCTATGTCATTTAGCACTTAGCTGCTGTTCACAATTTGAAGCAGCTACTGGTTAGAGCAGCTTAGCATTCTGCTGAATGGTAGGGCTGGTGCTGGCATGTCCTTAACTCTTTCTAGTTTAAAATCATGAATTTTAATTTCCTTTAACCTTGGCTGGGTTGTGCCTTGTCTCAAAGGCTAAATGATTTTGAAACACCAATTGGCACAAAAATTATAGACACTTTGGAAACTCAGTGTTCCGTGTACCATCTTTCAAATGGAATGGCCCAGTGGCAGGTGAAGACTGTTGTCATTCCATTTTATCCCTCTGCTTTTCCAAATCTTAGCTCCTTTATTCCTGTCCTGTTTTGTTGTAGGGATGCAAGTTATTTCTCCATACTCCAAATTCTACAATTTCTCCATACTCCAAATGGCTCCATTTTACCATCCAACTGTGGCTGTTTGCCATTTTGATAAGGATATGTAGCTCTGATGTCTACCATATTGTGCTGCTAGAACAGTGGTTAAGTGCTATGAATGGAATTGGGTAGAAGTAATTTCAGCAGGTAATGTGCTCCTCTAGCACTGTATTATGTCAAACCACACTTGCTTCTGTTCCAAGAAACTATGAAATGTAAAGAATCCCTTAGCTTTCCCTTTGGCTCCCTTAGCTTTCAAAAGTGGTATGTTTACCCAAGCCAGCCTTCATGACAGTGTGAAACTGCCGTCACTGAGGCAAGCTGTTCTAAATTGCATTAATTTCTCAACCAATATTAAGGCTTTCCCCTTCTCTTCCACCAAATGTAGACTGACATAATTGAAGTGACGGATGTGTAACCTCTGATCATTCATTATTACACACCCTGAAGCATTCGGAGGTCATGAACCAGGTCTTTAAAAACACATACAATTTTTCCAAGAAGACAAAAATGTAATACTATTGCCTTATAATGGTAATGTTTTTCTTAGGAAATAAATATTATGAAACACAACAATCACTATATTAAATTCTCTAGTGTTTTTCTTAATGCAATGATTTGTATTTCTTGGATTAGGAGGTCTGTGTGTTGTTCTGCTGAAACTTTTTGTGTGCCATAGTTTTGCTGATTTACTTTGCATTAAGGCTCTTGCACAGTTCACAGAGTTGCTCCATGAATTAGTTTGGTTATGCACACTGTCTCCCATGCACTCATTGTTTCTTCTTTCTTGAACAACCCAGCAACACCCTGTCCCTGGGTTGCTACTGTTAGGTCCAAATGTGGAAACTGGTTTGTTTTAGGGCTAAACAACCCAAAGTTTAACCCAGCAAAGAACTATAGATTAATTGGGGTTGTTTCACTATTAAACCACTCAGCATTTCTGGATATAGATGTAACAAATACAATTCATTAAGAAGGTGCTCCTATGTTGTTTAGGAAAGAAGTGGACTAGAGGGTGAGAATCCATGTGCTCACAAAAAAAAAAAAACTCATGATATCCGATTGTGGAAAGCAGGTCTTAGAGCAGTTGACTGACAACCAGCTTGCATGCATGACCAACAGCACAGGAGTGAGGATATAATAAGAACCAAACCTATCCATATGCAGATCATGCTTGCACTACTGTGTATAGCTTCTGGTTCTCGATACAAATTTTGATGGCAGGGATATAGGTCTTGACTCACTCCTGTGTCCCACAGCATGGGTTTTCTTAAGGCTGCAAGGGTGAATTGGTCCTGGTGATAAACGGTATCTTCCTTTGATGTTGAACTACAACTCCCACCATCCCCAGCCAGCATGGCTGGCACCCTGCTGGTTGTCATTTATGGGAGATTCAGTCCAATGTATCTGGTGGGCACAAGTTCAGGAAATTCTGCTTTAGTGGAGAGCAGGAGGCAAGCCACGAAACAAATGCATTAGTTATCCAGCAATGAAATTCATTGTCAACATTGGAATGAATTTGGAAATCACTAAAAATTGGTAAGGCTTAAAGAAGCTTTTTGTCTGTTTTAACTTGTGGATGGATCACCTGATTTCACTGTAGAGAGTAGAGAGGAGTGAACTCCTTTTTCCCTCCAGGTTTTCTTTTTTCCAGTTGCTAGCTTTTCTTAAGAACTAGCAGCTAATTTGCTAGAAGGAACGATTTCCATAGGAGAGTACCTGGTACTCCAAGGCAAGAAGGGTGTTAAGTGCCTCACATTATCTCACTATCCTGGCATTATTAATGAATCAGGCTGCTCTTGGAGAGTTTGCCCAAGAGACTAACATCTCTCTGAATTAATTACAGGATTTTAATTCCCTAATCTGTAATGACATCTTGTTACAGGCTATTCTAGCAATTTATGCTGCTGTGCCATTTACCTGACATATTGGAACAGCTTTGAAATCTCCAATGAAGGAATAGGATGAATTTCCTTTTCTTTTTATTTCATTTGTCATAAGCCAGCTTTTCCCAACCCAGTGTCCCCATTTTTTTTTTAACTGCATGTCTCCTTTGCCAAGCCAGCAGTCTTCTCTTCCGTTTTGAGCAGATCTTCCTGGACTCTAAGGGTTCCTAGATGCATCAGTGCTGCCTGGAACCTCTTTGCACATAGACATCATAGGAATAGGCATGGCACTCTTTACAAAATGCAGTAAATTTGAGAAGTGAAGTAATTGTTCAAGGTTGCATAATAAAACAGTGGTCAAATAATGGTTCTAGTGCAGTATCCTATATATTTTGCTTCTTGTCCAAGGGATTACTCTCCTGCCATTTATTTCTCTCATTATATTTATATCCCACCCTTTTTCCCTTTCAAGGAACTTAAGGTGGCTTATATAAATCTGCTGCTCTTGCTCTTACTCTCACAACATCCCTGTGAAGTATGTTGGGCTGAAAGTTTGTGACTGGCCCAAAGTTACCCAGTTGACTCCAGGGCTGCGTGGAGACTAGAACTTAGATCTCATGAGTCCTGGTCTCACATGCTTAATCATTGCACCACACTGGGTTTCTCTGCTGTTAATACAAGGCATAATCACTTTTACAATGGACATGAATTAACTTGTGCTTATCTGCTACAGTTGTAGATACTTTAGAGTAGATGTGGTAATGTAATGTAATTATATAATCTCATCTTGAATCTTTATATTGACTAAGATGAAACTAAGACTTAAAAAAATGTTGGTTATTCGTGAGATAATCTCCCTCTTCTTCTTTAGGAATTTGGAAAGTCTTGGGAAGAAGTTCAGTCAGAAGATGACCGAGAATTGTTACACAGCCAAGAAGAGTAATTAGAAGTTTTGTTCTGTACTTAAGGACTGAAGTGGCAAGTTTTTCTTAGAGGCTTGGTACATGATACAGGAAGCCATGACATTCAGAGACAAAGTAGGCTTGACAGAGGAGATCATGAATTGAATTTCCAGCATTTTAAAAGAGTAGCAGCTTCAGCATAGTCACCAAAATTGGGGTTAGCAGGGCTAAGGGAGGGACAGTTCAGCCCTTATATTATCTTTAATATTCGTTCCCCTCCCCAAAGCTGCTAGTTGTTCCACAGAGCAAAACATGTAAGCATCTTTTGCACAAGGCAAATAGCAGTCTATTAAGTAAAAGCATCTACTCTGAGATGCTGAGAAAGTTCATGCATCACAACAACTCACCAAAAAAGCTGTATGGGATATATTGTTTCAGACAGACAATCAGGCTCACCTTTGGTCCTGTCCCTCTCCTTTCCCACTAGTTTGCCAGATGCTGTATCAGGGGACTTGTTGGTTAAAGCCCTTTTTATACTCATTCTAGTGTTCCCCTCCTTTTTTAGATCATCTTTCACAATATCCAAGTTGGTAACCAGTAATACTCCCCACAGAATGTGCAAGAGGCATGTTGGAAGATCCGTCAGTCGTTTACAATTTTTCAAATTTTTCACACCATAGAAAATAGATTTGTAACCTGTTTTTTTAAGTGGTAGTCAAAACTTCTGCAAGTGCATACTTGCAGACTTTGAGAGGTCTGAAATGAGTAGCTTCACCTTTCACTTGTCAAAGTGTAGTAAGCACCTGCCATGAACCTTGCGCTAGAGATGCTGCAAAGAGGTTTATTGGACCAGATTTGGAGAATGCTGCACACGTTATGGGTCTAACAGGGCCCCCAAACAAGGTGTGGGTGGTCAGGGTGGCCTGTTGCTCATGAACAAGGCATGCAGTCGGAAGGACTCCAAGTTCACATGACACAGTAACCTACGTTGGCACCCAAAGTGAGTTGCTGCACTGCACAGCCCCAGTCATGCAAGGACATAGGGTTTTAGGCAGTTTTCCTTCCCTACCTGGACATGCTGGAGATCAGTCTTGGGACTTTCCACATGCAAAGCCAGTTATCTGAAGGGCTGCCATATCCCATATATGTTTACCTGGATCTTGAGGTCGTCTTTGGAAGTGCTTTTCTAGCAACCTCTTCCAAAAGAAGTGAGCTGAGTAGCTACCAGGAGGAGAGCTTTTTCAGTTGAGGCATCCTTGTTGTGGAACAGGTTCCCCCAAGAGGAACTTCTTTTTGGTTCCAGGTGAATACCTTTTTTATTCTTTGGGGAGCAGTTAAGAACCTCAAAGGAGTTTTTCTTAAGTACTGAAAACAATTAAGAATATAATATGTTGAAGCTTGTAAGCAAAGGAAAATGAAATTCCGTATCATTCAGAAAGTTTTGAAAAACGCCCAATTTCAATTTAAATTCTTCTTTCTAGAGACTGGTCTGATTGGGAAGAACATCCAGTTTGTGCAGTCTGCCTTTTCTGTGAGAAGCAGGCAGAGACCACAAAAAAGCTCTATATTCACATGGAGGTAATCAGCATGCACCTTACTTTGGAAAATGTGTCAGATAGTTTTTTGGTTGCATTAGCATGCCCAGTTTTAGTCCAAAAGCCACTGCTTTGCACTCTGTAAGTCTCAGCAATGAGAATGTATCTGGATTAGAGGCAGATACGCAGTGCTATCCTATGAATGTATATTCTAAAACATATTTCATTGATTTTATTGAGGCTAGCTCCCAGCTAAGTGACAATAGGATTTCAGCTTCAAGCATATTTGGTGTAGATCCATTAAAAACAATGTAGTTAAATTAGTTTTGATCTACTTGCTCCACTGATTTCAGTAGGTCTACTCTAAGCATGAGGAAGTATGAATCCAATTTATATCTCCAGTTCAGACAACACAGCAAGTTGTTTGTTGTTCTGCACGTGTTGAACAAAGGGCTGATTCGGCAGTGATGGCTTGTTTTTTGAACCAACCAACCATTCAAAAAACCTGTGGTGCCCATGAGCTGTTCTAGCACTGCTGTCACCTGTGGTGGGTTGTTGATTTGGCCCTTTTTATTCTTCCAGCATTTTAATTTTATAATTTCATTTTTAATACTGCATTTCATTCTGTACCAATACCATGCTTCTATGCTGATACAGTTGCAATTGGTGTGTCTGTGTTTAAATTTGTTTAATGCCCAGAGAGCCTGAGCTATTGCGTGTGACACGAATGAAATAAATAGAGCATGTGAACTACTTCCCTGTATTGAAAGCACAGCTTCCATCATTTCTAGGCAGAATGGCCAATGGCTAGCATGCTGGCTGTCCTGAGGGCAAGGAAGTATGCCTTGGTAGGACAAATATTCACACATGCCTTACCAATGGTTGCCCCATATATGAATATTCATGAATATGCAGTAAATCAGTTCTTAATTCTTTGCTTCAGACCGTATACTATGCAAAATTTCACAGCATTTCTTAAGCCTTCATTTAAAGTTCTGAGTGGGAAAAGAGCTGAAAATTGAGCCATTGTGAATAGAATGAAATTCCTTTGCAAGCTACTATTTCAAAGTGTGACCAGTTGCTAATGGTTTTGATTGCTATAGAGACAGTAGTGTCTCTGTCAACTGAAAGAAAAAAATCTTCTATTGAAATGAAGTATTGTCTTCCATGCTTAGCACAGAGCTGGGAACATAACCTCATAAATGTTCGTTTAATTAGTACGCTTCCCTTTTTATGCTGTATGGATATATAGCATTAGACTCGGAGTGGGCAAGTTGTGGCCAAAAATATGTTTTGGCTTAGAATCCTCATCTGCCTTCCCTGCTAGCTGTGCTGGCTAGAGCTGATGAGAGTTGGAAGCCAAAACACCCAGAAGGTTGCCCACCCCTGCATTGAACAACAGTTTGCCACGTTAAATAATAACACTGAAGCTAGCTTACATAATGGAGAAGGAATCCTGCCTGCTCTTGCTGGTTTTATATACATAAAATGATTTTGGAGAGAAATAGAGTGTCTGACCTGACACTGTGCAGGACTGAAGCATGCTCTGGTTACCCTAGGGTACTTGCGAATAGGGCAGGGTATAAATATTTTAAATAAATAAATACCCTAAGTACCTCAAAGGAGGCCCTGTCTTCAGGCCCTCTGCACCCTGCCTCCTCCTGCTTCCTACCCAATAGTTGATCTCTTGGGCAAGAGGTAATTGCCAGTAATCCACTCAGTAGCACCACAAAGTGGGTGCGGCCTCCCCTGAAGCATGAAGGAAGGGTGCCAAATCAGTTCCCCCATTCTCCCAATTGCACTTCAGGGCATGAGCACTCTTTGCATTGCAGGGACAAAGAAGAAGACATCTTCCCCCCACCCCCATAGCACAAACTGGGCTGGAAGTTTCTTTCCATTGCACTTCAGGGCCCAAGCCCTATTTGTGCAGTGGGGATTCTCTGACAGCCGCAGTGAGCTGTAATCAGATATGTTCCTTCTGATAGTACCCCCTGGGATTTCACCTGGAGGAATTAAGGGGAAAAGGAGGACGGGTGTAAGGTAGGTGGGAAGGAAGGTAGGCCCTGTTGTCAGTCCACCTACCTCAGGTTGTGTTGTGTTGTATGAATTCAACCATCATTAAGGAAGCATGGAATAAAGCATGGAATTAAAGGTTGAACAATTTACTTGGGGAGCTACTTGGGGGTCATTATGGGGCATGCACATTGGATTCATAATGCCCTACCTGTTCCCCTGGTGTTCCCAGTTAACAGATTTCAAGGAGCAGGCAAAGATCTTGGAGAGTTCATAATACTGTGCTAAATGAAGCAAGACTTTGATTTAGAACAGTGCAGCTCCTTAACTATGAAGTATCACTGAGAATTTCAGCTAGTGTTTAAATAAGCAATAATGAAGTAATAATTTTAAATTATATGATTTGCTTATATTGCCTTACTGTTTAGACTGTGCCCAGAATTTATACTATTAAGTTTAATAATTGATCTTGAAACAGTTAAAAGCATTCATAATTGTTGACTTTTTCTTTTCTTCTCCAATTCTAGGAAGCTCATGGCTTTGGTCTGCTAAAAATTAAGTCTGAGTATGGTGGGTATCTGAGAAATGTGCTGCTAGTGAAAATGTGAACTTTTAGAGAAAGGGAACCGTACATCAACCTATAGGACTTAAAGTTTTAAAATTGTTTTTGCTTTTCATGGCAATACTGATCTATACTGAATGTCAAAGGGTGGCAACACCTGTTTGCAGTAGTCCTCAAGAAACCACTTTATTGAGGAGATCTGAAGATTCACTTTTCTCCCTATAAATAATGGATCTTCTGGTAGCCATCATGCTAAATAAAACTATGTTGCCCTATCAGATGAGCTATGAAATATTTCAGTCAAATATCCAATAGGGCTGCAATTCTGACAGTATTTGGAGTAAGTCCCATTGAGCACACTGGGGCTTACTTCTAAGTAGACATGTATAGGCTTGCACTGCATATCCCCTTTTTGAGTACAAAAGTGATTAAAAAGTACAAAAGTATTGGAAATGTGTGTGCCTTGCTTTCTATTTCTCTAAGCTCAATCATCAGTAGCCTCCTAGGTCAGCTAACTAGCAAGCAAACATACATTTCAGGTGTAAACTGTACTCTGCTAACCAATTTCATAGCCTAAGCACTCTTTAAGACCCTTCCTTTGTTTCAGTAATCTTGTTTGCATCATGTGTCTTTCAGATTGTTACTACTTACTTTAAAACTGTTTGTTTGTTAGGTTTGAATTTCTACCAGCAAGTAAAATTGGTAAACTTCATCAGGAGAAAGGTCCACCAGTGTCTTTGTTACAATTGCCTGGAGAAATTCCAATCCAAAAAGGAGCTAGTAAGGCACATGGAGGAAACCAAACATATAACACTTCTTCCAGCCAGATCCATGTGGGATCAGCCCCAGTAAGATTCTGTTTGTTTACTTCAGTGTTGTGGATGATGCATGACAGTATCTCATAACTGAAACGTAGGCTGCACATTCTGTGTCCTTACTGTTCTGTTTGGGCCTACTTTGACTTTTCTGTAAACCAAGTGAATGTTGCAAGTGGTCTTTGTTGCCCTCATGCCCTCAGACAGACTGCTAGATCAGGTTTCCTTGACTGAAATGTGGAAATTACAGACATACATACTGCAATGCGTACGATATGGCCCACAGTCAGTGCATGGCATTGATCAAGTGATGTTAATAGTTCATTTCCAAATGCATGTTTTCATTGCATTTGTGAGTGTTGGGTGACCCTATTCTTTCTGTAAATAATTCTGTGATGCAGGCATTGCTATCCACAACACACAGTGTGATGCCCTGGAAACAAATTATTAATAGTCACTCCAAGCCAGGAGCTTCCAGCCTTATAGTTAGCTTGTACCTTGAGCAGCCTGCAAGGATTACTACTGGCAATTTGCCTTGATTTATATGGAACAAAACAAATTGTTGGGGTGCATATACACACGTGTCTGTGCATGCAAATACATCCATAGGTGCTGAAGCCACTGTCCAGGCATGCACTCCATGCTATTGAGAAATGTGTGCAAATGTTGCATTCCTGTGCGAAGTCCAGATCAGGCATGTTTTTCTCATGGGACTGGCACCCTCTATGTGACTGCAGTAGTCATGTGTGCACCAAGCAGTGTAGGATTCTGTCATAGGGTAGGAACTACAATGCCATCAGATATATATGTAAAATGGGACCTTTGATTTCCTCTCCTTAGGTATTATTTTCCAACCTATGAAAACGATACTCTTCTCTGTACACTCTCAGACAGTGAGGATGAACTGACAGCTGGGAAACAGAACGAGGATGTACCTGTCATCAGTGAGGATGTTTCTAACATAGAGGCTTTGAAACAGGGTAGTGTATTAAATCAGCTTCTTCGCGAGGAGATAAATGACGAAGAACCTTGATGTTGGATAAACTTTTTTCTTAATATGCAGACCCCTGCCTTTGGCAAGGCAAATTTTGTTTTGGTAATTTACTGATCTAATTTGATTCTATATCTGTAATAGACCAACTCTTCGAATGGGAAGCTGAAATTAAAGACACAGCACATCGGATTAAAAGTCCTGTTTTTTTTTTTTTTTTTTTTTACTTTGGCTTTACTCATTCACAATGTAATCCTGTGTATGTATGTATGTTTGTTTATTTCTTTTATAAAGACAGTGTTTCTATTGTTGAACAGTGGGGGCAAATCCATAGTGGACAAACCATCACTGCCTTAGAAATGTCACCTTGTGTCAGCTAACATGGAAGGTAGGGTGGTGGGTACTCATTCCTCCAGCTTCCTCCAGCAGCAGCTTCTTTGGATCTTCCACATCATTTATTTGCTTTTGATAGTAGAGGCTAACATTTTTTCAGTATTTTTATGCAATGCAAGCAGAAACCTACTACAGCTAAAAATTATACATCTCTTAAATTCCTTAAAAGGACTTTTCTGTACTCCCTTTTCCCTTAAAATTTATAGAAAGTGTTACCAGCAGCTATAAGAAACAAGGCCCATGAATTCTCAAAACCACTTTAGTCTGACATGACATACATTATTACAAGGACAGATTTTAGAGAAAATTATTTAAGAAAACTAAACACAAATGCTACTGCTAGAGGTGTGTTTGCAAGCGGATGAATTGCCATCATGCTACTGTAGAACTGAAAAAAAAAAGATCTGAATTTCAGTGGGATTAATTGACCTTTAAACACAAATACATAGCAGGAAATGAAAATGACACAAACCTTGAGCTGTGAATTCTGAGATGAAGATTAGGATGATACGAGCAGGCAAGTGTGAAAGCAAAGCTGCATATTAGTCATCCCTGATTATAATTAAAGATGATCACAAATTGGAGTAAGTTATTCTGACAAATCAGCTATTGCTGCCTCACCTGAAGCAAACAGCAATATTGATAAAATGGAAAGGCATGGTAGGCCATGGCAAGGAATTGCACAGTAGTACATGATTGTCCAATATGATGGTGCATGAAAGGGAATAGGAGTGCTTTATAGTCAGTTGTCCTCTCCACTCCTGACCTCCTAGTGTTGATAGGGAAGACTTGCAAAGGGTGTTGTAAAAATGTTTGGTCAAATAGGCTTACCCATGTGATCAGAAACTCTGATTAACTGGGCCACCCCAAGATAACCCATTGCCCAAGGTGAAGAACAAGATAGTGCCCCCTCACATCTCATGTACAAAAGCTGACTGGACTGGTAAATGAATCTGCCTTCATCACTGATGATGGGACAGCATCCTCCACTATACATGTGCCAGTATCATCCACTTCTACCTTTGAGGTAGTTCAGAGCAAGTTATATGGCACACAGATCTCTTCTCCAGTACCTTGTTGCCACTTCATAGCATCTGTCACCTGCTTCACTTTATGCAGTGGTAGGACTGGGCTTGCTCACATACCTGGACACAGTCAGTCACATGCATTTACAATAATCTTGCAAAACCATCCCTGCCAACACAAACATCCCTTCCTGGCTCCCTCTATTCTTACAGTTAATCCTTGTTTGGCAAACCCCTGAAGAGTTTGTGTATGTTTTGCATAACTGCACCTTATCCTTACTGTAAGTGTTCCATAATGCAAGAACCCTTCATGGCTAGTTATCCAGAGTGGCTTGTTATTATCATGTGAACCCCACGTCAATGTTTGGAGCTATATAGTTTACAATAGTGGCAAATAACAGGGAGGAGGATAGGGAGGTGCTTAAAATTGCTTGGTGTGGAAAAACAGGGTTTTCTCATATTTTCTTTCATTCTTATTTCATAGATATAAAAGCAGCCTATCAAAATATATATCTTCCCAAGGCAGTGTAGAAAAATAATAATGAAATCAATTGCAACATCAACTTTACAAAGTAAAGCAAAAGAATATAAGAAAACTAAGTAAGCAAACTTCACAAAGTAAGCAAAAGAATATAAGGAAAAGCATGCGGAATCAGATCAAAGATCCTTCTAGTCCAGCACTCCAGCCACATGCAACTATTGTTCTGACCTTTTGTCCTCTCCAGCTGGTTATAATGGTGTTCCATAACCTTGTTTTCTATTTCTCCCCTTCTACACTTGGGAAATCTGAATCTTCCTCCCCTTCATCCACTGGGGATGGTTTGACTCAAACTGGATGCTTCCCAGCTCCAGTTAGCTTTCCCCCAGAAACAACAGTAAATGAAAACAGAAAAGAGCAATTCAATAATTTTTTGTCAGCCAGTTTTGCATACAATCGAGAGCAGAGCCACATGTGCAGTGTAATAAAACCCCTCCTCATTTTTAATTAAAAGTAGTCTGGAACAGACTAGCCTGAAAGGAAGAAGGTGGCTAATATTAGATCAGGAGTAGGCAATGCGATAGCTCTGGGCGCCAATATGCCTTGCACACTTTTCTTGCTGGCTGCCAAGATGCCCTACCTCTTCCACTTAAAAATAAATATGAACACTTTTTAAAATTTTGTTTTCTGTCAGCTGGGATTGCTGTAAAATAGGTTTCTGCTGGAGCTGAAAACTGGGCTCAAAAGAGTTTGCTGTGTTGTGGCTTGGACCACACCCTGTGCCTTAGTCAGGTTACTTGCCTTTTGCCATGTCTCCCATGGAAACCATTTTATGGTGGTGGCCGTAACAGCTTCCCCTATTGCTAAATGTGCCTGGTGCCCGAAAAGGTTGCTTGCTTCTGTACTAGAACCTGGGGACCACCTACTGCAGCTGAATGGTGAGAAATTCAAAATAGAAGGAAGTACTTCACACAGCTCATTATTTAACTATGGAATCTGCTCCCAGAAGATGTAGTGGTGGCCACCTATTTCAATACCTTTAAAGCAGGGGCAGTCGATGTTCCTATAGATGCATTTATGTATTCATTTGATCTGTATCCTGCCTTTCTGCAAAGAAAATGGCACTCAGGACTGCTCTTCTGACCTAGAGCTCCCATGATCCCTCATTCAGCCTCTGAATACCAGCTTGCTGAGAACAGCAAGAGAGGACCTTTGCTCTCATGTCCTGCTTGTGGGCTTTCCATGCACACCGTATTAGCCATTACAGGAAACAGGATGCTGGGCTAGCTCGATACTAGATCTGATTCAGTGGGGCTCTTCTTCAGTAAAAATTTCTTTTTCAAGAAGCATGTGCAAAAAAGAGGGTGTTTCCAGACAACATGTTTGTCCTGCATTCATCCTGCCTCAAGCATAGAGCTGTGGTCCTCCATTTGTAACCACCTCATGCTTTCCCAATACTGCTGCTTGGGTTTTTCCTTCCCAGAAAACATCTGTCAAGGAGGAAAAGTGAACAATGCCTTTCGAAGGCTAGAGGTAGGAGCCTCTGGTGGGAAGAACCCACACATTTTTGCCTGTATTGTGCAGAAAGTGAGACACCAAGCTGGCTATGTGAAACAACAGTTGTGTAACATGCCAGCTGCAATGTGTGGATCTCTCCAACTCAATATAAGGCAGTGTCACTTCTTGTGTCACTCTGACATACAGTTGTGTTTGCTTCCTAGAAACAAAACAAATACAGCAGTTTTAACTCCAGAGTTTGCCATCAGGATGATGTAAAGTTAGGTACCTTTTGCCAAGTGGTGTGACATGAACCATCTATTACGATTGTTTGGCACAGATCACCGATTTTGCTCGGTGCAGCCTAGCAGAATCCCTACCCCTGTCCAGAAGAGCCCTGTTGTTCTGTCACTGTGCCTGTACCAAGATCCATTGGCTTACGTCTGCCTGTGCTTGGATATGTGTACAATAGTGGCCTGAGGCAGCTGGCTCATGACAAATTGATGGTAACTTCTACAAACCCAGTGAGTAATTACTGAGCAGTTACAAAGAAATTGCCGTGCCACTGCCTGTCAGCAGGCTGTTATTTCCTGATTAATGAACTTCAGGCAACCTTTGGGGGATGTGCACATTTGTTCCCCTTTAAAAAAAATGTTTCTTGGCACAAGTGACACATTGCAGGAAACTACCTTCCTTGAATACAGGCCTAGTGCCACAGGTCTTCGGCATCAATTCCCATCATTTAACGAAGGAACCCCCCGCCCCGTTCTTCTACTGCCACAAATCGTACAGGAGGAGGAAACGCTTTTCCTAAGTCAAACTTGGCTGACTAGAAATGAAAATTGAAAGGGATGCTTAGAATTGAAATGGTACTTGCTTCCAAGAATCCCAAATGTAGCCACTGAAATATTACAGCTTTCACAGGCAAATGATAAATGGGAGATACTATTTTAGAACTACTCTGGTGTAGGGCTCTGAGGAAGTTCACTGGGTGACATTGGCCAGTTATGGATTCTCAACCTAAGCCTCCCTCACAGGGTTGTGACTGAGAGGAGAAAATGGAGAAAAGAAAGATCATGTATGCCTTTTTGAGGGAAAAGTAGGTTATAAAATTTATCTGTATAAATAAGTCAATGCATAGTTTGCTTTTTCAAAGACATATTCTCCCCTACTACTTAAAAGTGGCCATCAAAAGCAGGTGGGCAGATGGGAGGAATATAGAGTTGGGCTGTCTCTGATGAAAGTGCTGGCACCACCCCAGAAAAGTAACATGTTACATTAGTGTCCTAAAGTGTAAATAGGAGCATTACAGACCATTTACATGAAGATAATTCCTGAGCTTGTTTCCATGGAGATCAATGGGATTTTTGCCATTTTCATTAGATGTAAGTCCCAGGTAAAGATGAATAAATATAGCTAAAGCATATAAGTTGCTACAGTGCAGACTTAGAGCACCTTCACTACACTCTTGATTCATCAAGAGTCAAATTGTTACATGATTCACATTTGTTTATCTCTGGATTTGATGGAAAGTGCCAGTTCTAACTTACAGATATCTGAGCAAGCCTATGCATGTCTACTCAGAAGGAACCCCCATTGCATTCAATGAGATTTATTCCTAGGAAAGCCTATATAGTATTGCAGTCATAGCTATAGAAATATCCCTTTGGCTGCGAATCTGAAATAAGGTTTTTTAAAAAGAAAGATTTAAAACTACTGAAACATACTGCTTGAGACCATTTTTTTTTCAAATATGCTTAGGCATGTGATTAAGTAGGAGTATGCAGTGGTAACGCTTCTGAGGG